ACGTTAGACCACTTCTTCCCTGTTTTGTTTCCACAGCTAATGACAAGGCAAGGGACTGTGATAACGAAAATATAAATATTACACGATTGTCTTCTCAAAACCGTAAAATGTACTCCAAAAGTTTCCTGTCACATTACTCAGAGCTGACTATCATGGAACACCAACATGGCGGATGAAGTCGGTTACCATGACGATAAAGAAATTTGGTCACGTGAGTGAAAACGCTCTATTGCGCGTGAAATTACTATTAATAATGAATTTCGTCATTTTATTTGCATGCTAGCCACCGCCATTTCTGACGTCTCGGTTTAGATTACGACGGAGTAGATCTCTTCGTATTGGGAGACGGGGTAATCAACTCTCTTCGACTCGTGTAGACTGAAAAATCGAAAGGTGTGTAACTGAACCATTATTTTTCATTTCTTATGAACTTTAAAAGAGAAACTTTAATCATCATTTTACGAAATCGTTTGAGATCGAACAAACCGCTTTGGCACAAAGACACCAATTTTCTAGCCTAGAATTTCTGTTTCTTCAGCTCGTAAATGTTTACTACTTCTAGCTTTGAAAATATTTCCGTCGTGAGGCATTCATATTTCTTGATCCTAGTTAATGAGTATATTAATTGTTCTGGGAGCCGGATTCATAAAAAGTCTTACTATCTTTCTTGAAATTGTCGGGCAAACATCGCTGCTATCAACATGATTGCCTAGCATATGATTAACGTCTGCCCTAGCTCAAAGCTCATCTTTGAAGTCCGTTCGAGTTATCGTAAATATATTTTGATTTCTTCAAACGAAGAGTTTAAGGCCTACTCTGGGGCCCTAAGTCGCCATAACTTTGGCTGACTTTGGGCGATTCAAGGTGACTTAAGGCGACTTAACCAGGGTGAGACGAAAATGAAAAGATAAGGTTGCCCTTCGGGAAAGCTGTTACTTGAGATTACTAGCCCGAAATTAAATTGTTTATAGAGAATAATTAGATTTATTTAATTTACTATAAATTTATGGAAATCAAAACACAGTTATTTTTGTGAATGTCATGAACGTTGCGATTGGTCAATTAAACTACCACTGTAATCTGAAGTCTGTCGACACTCGATGGAGTAAATTCTCTTCAACGCTCATCAAGCTGACAAACTTAGTCTTTCAGACCTGGCGCTGTTAGCATCCGATAAAAAATACGCAGTCTACGACTACACGCAGCTCAGGCGTATAGCCGTCACATTTTTGAACATAAGATTAATGTGTAAGTGAAGAAATTTACAAAGAAATGCATGTTGAACACATCAGGTTGTCTGGTAATTTTGATATCACAGTAGTCTTACATACATAAATCTCTTGGTAAATGTTAATGATTTGAAATGACTGCAGTATCTTGTGTTATAAGCTTATTATTCATTTTATTAATAGTAAAGTTCAATAAAGTTGGTGGATAAAGTTGTGTATTAATAACACATTGCTGCGATTAATAACACAATACTGAGTGAATATTCAGGCCAACAGAATGTATAGTAGTTTATTCAACAATTTGTTTTATTAACAGTAACAACAAAAGTACAACTTGTA